GGTAAAACATCTTCATTCTTGGCTATGGTGAGCTGAATTAATGGGGAGGGTGGTAGCAGTGAGGTTGGTTAGGGTAGATAGTGCACAAGCTTGGGACAAGGCATGAACAACTGGAATGACTGTGAAAGGAAACTTTGCCTACTTGTTTTTGGAGATGTTGGAAGAGAAGGGTATTGTCCCCTTATTACTACTATTCATACTTATTGTCCTCCTTCCAACAGTGCTACCTCTCTCCATACCAGCCCACTTCCTCTCACCCTCGTCATTCTATCGCTTCCACCTCTGCAGACTTTTTGAGTTCCCTTTTTGGACCTGCTAAGTGAGATCAATTCTTTGTGATTCCCCCTACAGCCCCATACTCTGAAAATACCCTTTTCTTCCAACATCATCTCCAAAAACAAGTTTCCTTTCATATTATACATATATATATATATATACATATATATATATATATATATATGTGTATATATATGTATATATAAATGCATATACATATATATGGATATATACGTATATATGTATAAATAAATATATGCATAATATATATGTAGATATATAAATACATATACGAGGACACCCTGGAAGAGCTGCCTCTGTCCGAGGACACCCAGGACATCCTCCAGGGTGTCCGAGGACGGAGCCAGCTCCTCCAGGGTGTCCGAGGACAGAAGCTCCTCCAGGGTGTTCTTGGACTGAGGCAGGTCCTCCAAGATGTCCACAGACGGCAGGTCCTCCAGGGTCTGAGGACACCCTGGAGGAGCTCCCCTCAGGGTCCCTCATGGGTGTCCTCGGACAGAGCCCTAGAAGAACTGCCGTCTGAGGACAGCTTCTAGGGCTCCGTCCGAGGACAACCTGTCCTTATTAGGGGCATTAGGGCTTGGCCCATCATCAACCAGCCTAAATTTGATTTCATTGGTTTCCCAACCCCTGCCTCTCCTTTGACCATGGCTCTGACTGATACTAATACCCCCTCAATGTTTCCTGTCAACTCTATCCATTCTAAATCAACCAGCCAGATCATTACTCAACCTTCAGAATACACCCCTTCCCCTCTCCCAATATCTTCCACTCCGTCTTTTACTGCACAATCTTCTTCATTGTCTACCCCCACCCCCCTTATTACTACTCTTTATCCTTATTGTCCTTATTTTCCTCCTCCCAATAGTAGTACCTCTCTTCATACCACCCCATCTTCCTCCCGCCCTCGTCCTTCTACTACTTCCATCTATGCAAACCTTTTGAATACCCTTTTTTGCCCAGCCAAGTGGGATCAATTCTTTGCGATTCCCCCTACAGCCCCATAATACCCTTCTCTTCCAACAATGTCTCCAAAAACAAGTAGGCAAAGTTTTCTTTCTGATCATTCACGCCTTGGTACAGTTAAATCTCAATCCCGTGCTCATGCACTGTCTACTCTTACAGACCTCATTGGTAAACCTATTAATGCCCACCCTGAGGGGAGCTCCTTCAGGGTGTCCTCAGACCCTGGAGGAGCTGCCGTCCGTGGACACCCTGGAGGAGCCAGCTCCTCCAGTGACTCGGGATTCAGATTTAACTGTACCAAGGCGTAAATGATCGCAAAGAATTGATCCCACTTGGCTGGGCAAAAAAGGGTATTCAAAAGGTTTGCATAGATGGAGGTAGTAGAAGGATGAGGGCAGGAGGAAGATGGCTCCATCTGAGGACACCCTATAGGAGCTGACGCCATCCGAGAATAGAGTCAGCTTCTCTTGGGTGTCCTCGGACGGAGCCAGCTCCTTCAGTGTGTCCATGGATGGTGCCAGCTCCTTCAGTGTATCCTAGGACGGAGCCAGCTCCTTCAGTGTGTCCTTGGACAGAGCCCTAGAAGAACTGCCGTCCGAGGACAGCTTCTTCTTCTAAAGGCGCCAGCTCCTTCAGGGTGTCTTCAGACCCTGGAGGAGTTGCCATCCGTGGACACCCTGGAGGCTCCATCCGAGGACAGCCTGGAAGAGCTGCTTCTGTCTGAGGACACCCTTAAGGAGCCAGCTCCTCCAGTGTGTCCCTGGAGGAGCTGGTTCCTTCACGGTGTCCTCACACTCTTGAGGAGCTGCCATCATGGACATCCTGGAGGCTATGTTCGAGGACACCCTGAAGAAGCTGGCGCTGTCCGAGGACAGAGCCAGCTTCTCTTGGGTATCCGAGGACGGAGCAGTTGTCTGTGGACACACTGGAGAAGCTGGCTCCTCCAGGGTGTCCGAGGACAGAAGCAGCTCCTCCAGGGTGTCCTCGGACAGAAAGCTCCTCCAGGGTGTCCGAGGACAGAAGCAGCTCCTCCAGGGTGTCCGAGGACAGAAGCAGCTCCTCCAGGGTGTCCGAGGACAGAGCCAGCTTCTCTTGGGTATCCGAGGACGGAGCAGTTGTCTGTGGACACACTGGAGAAGCTGGCTCCTCCAGGGTGTCCGAGGACAGAGCCAGCTTCTCTTGGGTATCCGAGGACGGAGCAGTTGTCTGTGGACACACTGGAGAAGCTGGCTCCTCCAGGGTGTCCGAGGACAGAAGCAGCTCCTCCAGGGTGTCCGAGGACAGAAGCAGCTCCTCCAGGGTGTCCGAGGACAGAAGCAGCTCCTCCAGGGTGTCCGAGGACAGAGCCAGCTTCTCTTGGGTATCCGAGGACGGAGCAGTTGTCTGTGGACACACTGGAGAAGCTGGCTCCTCCAGGGTGTCCGAGGACAGAGCCAGCTTCTCTTGGGTATCCGAGGACGGAGCAGTTGTCTGTGGACACACTGGAGAAGCTGGCTCCTCCAGGGTGTCCGAGGACAGAGCCAGCTTCTCTTGGGTATCCGAGGACGGAGCAGTTGTCTGTGGACACACTGGAGAAGCTGGCTCCTCCAGGGTGTCCGAGGACAGAGCCAGCTTCTCTTGGGTATCCGAGGACGGAGCAGTTGTCTGTGGACACACTGGAGAAGCTGGCTCCTCCAGGGTGTCCGAGGACAGAGCCAGCTTCTCTTGGGTATCCGAGGACGGAGCAGTTGTCTGTGGACACACTGGAGAAGCTGGCTCCTCCAGGGTGTCCGAGGACAGAGCCAGCTTCTCTTGGGTATCCGAGGACGGAGCAGTTGTCTGTGGACACACTGGAGAAGCTGGCTCCTCCAGGGTGTCCGAGGACAGAGCCAGCTTCTCTTGGGTATCCGAGGACGGAGCAGTTGTCTGTGGACACACTGGAGAAGCTGGCTCCTCCAGGGTGTCCGAGGACAGAAGCAGCTCCTCCAGGGTGTCCGAGGACAGAAGCAGCTCCTCCAGGGTGTCCGAGGACAGAGCCAGCTTCTCTTGGGTATCCGAGGACGGAGCAGTTGTCTGTGGACACACTGGAGAAGCTGGCTCCTCCAGGGTGTCCGAGGACAGAGCCAGCTTCTCTTGGGTATCCGAGGACGGAGCAGTTGTCTGTGGACACACTGGAGAAGCTGGCTCCTCCAGGGTGTCCGAGGACAGAGCCAGCTTCTCTTGGGTATCCGAGGACGGAGCAGTTGTCTGTGGACACACTGGAGAAGCTGGCTCCTCCAGGGTGTCCGAGGACAGAAGCAGCTCCTCCAGGGTGTCCGAGGACAGAGCCAGCTTCTCTTGGGTATCCGAGGACGGAGCAGTTGTCTGTGGACACACTGGAGAAGCTGGCTCCTCCAGGGTGTCCGAGGACAGAGCCAGCTTCTCTTGGGTATCCGAGGACGGAGCAGTTGTCTGTGGACACACTGGAGAAGCTGGCTCCTCCAGGGTGTCCGAGGACAGAAGCAGCTCCTCCAGGGTGTCCGAGGACAGAAGCAGCTCCTCCAGGGTGTCCGAGGACAGAGCCAGCTTCTCTTGGGTATCCGAGGACGGAGCAGTTGTCTGTGGACACACTGGAGAAGCTGGCTCCTCCAGGGTGTCCGAGGACAGAGCCAGCTTCTCTTGGGTATCCGAGGACGGAGCAGTTGTCTGTGGACACACTGGAGAAGCTGGCTCCTCCAGGGTGTCCGAGGACAGAGCCAGCTTCTCTTGGGTATCCGAGGACGGAGCAGTTGTCTGTGGACACACTGGAGAAGCTGGCTCCTCCAGGGTGTCCGAGGACAGAAGCAGCTCCTCCAGGGTGTCCGAGGACAGAAGCAGCTCCTCCAGGGTGTCCGAGGACAGAGCCAGCTTCTCTTGGGTATCCGAGGACGGAGCAGTTGTCTGTGGACACACTGGAGAAGCTGGCTCCTCCAGGGTGTCCGAGGACAGAGCCAGCTTCTCTTGGGTATCCGAGGACGGAGCAGTTGTCTGTGGACACACTGGAGAAGCTGGCTCCTCCAGGGTGTCCGAGGACAGAGCCAGCTCATTCTTTACTCACCTCAGATCTCTTCATCCCTCTTAGGCCACTCTTCCTGTTATCTTTCTCTTTCCCCCTTCCACTTTCTCCCTCTTTCTTTTATTCCTTATTACTGTACTCTGTAATATTTATGTAAAATTTATAACTGAAACTAATTGTAAAGTGAACTGAATTGGTCTGAAAGGAATCTGAATGAACTGTATGTATATGGAAATTATGTATATTACATTTTTTCTTAATATTTTCAGAAGATAATGCTTGACAATATAAGGAAAGATGAAAAAAGTCATAATAAACCTCTTAAACATTTCAGATACAAGAACGAGATCAGCAGCTACGTGAAGCCCAAGGAAATGATTAGGCTGTGTTACTGGGCAATGGGTATGTATGAATTCTATGGTCTGTTTTCTTAGACTAAAAAAAATTCACATGTAATTTCATAAGTATGATATATGGTTACATTTGATTGATTTAATACTGAAAAAAATTCTACCACATCAACATCTAAGGTCATTGGAGGGGTGTACTTTACGATGTTTATTTTAAGAGAAATGTAATAAGCCTTCTGCACCAAGGAAAACTGCCTCATTCATTTAACAAACTATGGATTTATTAACTTTTCTATAATTTTTGAGGTACTGATGATGATGCGCATTATGACAGACTGTCATGTCCTAATTTTTTCTTTTAATTCCAGACTTGATCCTTAGATGGAAGGGATGTCACCTGTGGCAAGTCCTGATAGCAGCCCAGGAGAATGTTGATCAAGGCCTCGCTAAGCAGAACCTACACTCAATGGCTGACCTGCTAACAGTGGAAAGCATTTCTCCCATTTAAATAGGTAATTTTTAAAAATTTTGTATTAAAGATAATCAACACTTTTTCATTTTGTTGCATTACCAATACCAAAATAGCAATACCCTAATAACAATCACTACATAATATGATACTAGTACAAATATCAAAGCAAAAAAAAAAAAAAAAAAAAAAAAAAAAAAATGCAAAAAACATGCATGCACATAACCCCTTCACAACAGGTCATGCCTATAAGCGTGGAAAAAAAACATTCAAATGTCGGCGTGCAGCTTGCTGGTGATTCGGCTTGGTGTGCCAAACACCCGCACTCACAGTCGGCGCACTGCCATGGCTCGCCAGACCGCCATTAGGCTCAGTGACTTAATCTTAATTTTTTTTTCCTAAAGATTCTTTCTTTTCTACCATGCTATGAGGCTCTAGCTGGATGAACAGAATGGTTAATGGTTAACCCATTGCCACCGGGGAAAATGAACAAAAAATGGGGGAAATGCTGTACTTATTTTTTATATTTTTGTGAAATATCTCTGTACATAGATGACTCTGCAAGTCCTGATTTCACCTTTCCTTGAATTGGCAGGAAAAAATGTAGCCCCCTGGCAAGGCATACATATTACTAAGGGGATTCATATATTATATATATATATATATATATATATATATATATATATATATATATATATATATATATATAATAGTATTTTCTCTGCTAAAGTGTTTCTTTATCCACAGAGATGAACCTGGCGAAAAGTTGTTCAGTGGTTAAGATGCTGGCAGATACCTGGAAGATCTTCAGCCACCCAAGATGAACAACAAGAGAGTAAGAGCAAATCATTCCCAAGGCTTCTATATGTGAAAGAAAAGAGAAGATTCCCCAATTTTGAGTAAGTCGCTCATGTTTACATTGTGAGGGTGAATTCTAGACGCATATATGTCCACAGGGCTAGGTGTATATATTACTACAGGTTTCCAGGGGCAGAGCCCACTGTCTAGGGCAGGGGTCTCAAACTCAATCTACCCGGGGGCCGCTGGAGGCAGAGTCTGGGTCAGGCTGGGCCACATCAGGATTTCCCCAAGAAAAGTGCTGATAAAACATTCCAATGTTCTCAAATATCTTTATTTTTAGCACAAAAAATGAAAATAAATCAACCAGTAATAAATAAATAAGATAATAATAATCATACAGCAGATACAGATGACTGAAGAAACCACATATTGACTGACTGATTGGCTGACCAGAGAAAACTAATTATTTTAATTCAGTTTGAAATGTCTGTATTAACAGTTCTTTAACCTTTAACTTTCTAAACATGAATGAAACGTTGAATATGAACTGAATGAACTAAAAATGGCTTCTTTTGTCTACTTCTTGCTGCTAGAGACCTGGCAGCACTACTTTTCACATTGCCGAGCCACATTTGGCTTGAGAGAGGAAGCAGTGGAGACTCTGAGTAGGGCTTGAAGATGCTCATCTGTAAGTCTGGACCTATACCACCCTTCAGAGCCTTTTACCCCACCGTGATTGGTTCGTTCAGCTCCGCATACAACAAGTTTTATTCATATCAGTCTTGCGGGCCGCACTAACATTAATCTTTAATATCAAGACGGTCCGCAAAGTATCGTCCTGGGGGCCGCATTTGGCCCGCGGGCCGTGAGTTTGAGACCCCTGGTCTAGGGAATATGTCCCATGTTGTTAAGTTAGGCTGGATGTTGGGTTAGGACGTTTTGTTTAACAACCACGGGGGTCCTGTTTTACCCCATAATTTCCCTGATATACTTCATGCCCTCCTCTGCTATCAGGACTATCAAATCAAGATTGTCGATGGAGATGGTGATCATATCTCCTCAACGATTCATTTGCACAAGGAACAATGCCTAGAATTGTTGAAAGTGGATTTCATGCAGAAAAATATCAAAATTGTTTTGAAAGTAACCCACTACCCACTTCTATATACTGACTGGGGGATCTTCTCTTTTATGTATAGCAGCCTTGGGAAGCATTTGCACACATTGCCATAGAAGAACTTTCATGTAGGTTTTATTACCCAACTCTGCCATTACCTTATACTACATATTGACCCAATAAACAATCAATATTCCAAAAATATATAATAGAGGACACATTAATCCTTTGCCGACGGGCATGCCATGCCATGCCCAGAGTAAACTCAATTGTTTGTTTTTACACATAGATGGCTACACTTGTAGTAGACCACCAATGAGCCAATTATGAGTACTGCCTGTCTCACCCGTTCACCCTTTTCTTTAATTTTCGAAAATATTTATCAAAATCTTATTTTGCTATTACTAATGTTTATAACATTATAGTAATTATAATGTTTATAATAAAAATAACACCATCGATATTCATAGCACTAGTAAAAAATACATTTTCCTGCCAATTCAAAGAAAGGTGAAATCAGGTAAGGCAGAGCCATCTATGTGTAGTAACATTTCCCCCAAAAGATATAAAAAATGAGCACAGCATTTTCCCCATTTTTTATTCATTTTGGAATGGGAAAGGCAATAAGACTTGAAGTTAATAATTTGACAGAACTACCACATCTAAATGAGATAGATAAACTAGGGGATTGGTATATAAGCTGCAAACAGCCTGCCTCAAATAAAAACATAGACTGTTCCTTTGGCACAATATATTTTATTGATATAATTTGACAAATGATACTCCCTTCACCGACCTCCCAACCTATCAGACATCCTAACAGAATCTCACACCTTCTGCTTCGACAACCTGTTTTCCTTCCTCAAACGCATAAATATCCTTCACTTAATCTAACCCCTTTACATTACCTCACCTGACTTTAACCTATTCACTCACCAATTTCTTTGCCCAACTTTGACAACTAACCACTAACTTAACCACCCTTCACTAGTGCTACATGACCTTAGATGTCTAGCACATTTATTTTGCTTTTAACCATAACCCATTGCCGCCGGGGATGGCATGTACGTACATGCCATGCCCAATGTGAGTCGACTTGTACTAAGTCACCATTGAGCCAATTACGAGTACTGCCTGTCTTGCCCGTTCACCCTTTTCATCAATTTACGAAAATATTTAACGTTATCCTAATTTGCTGTTAAAAATAACACCATCTATATTTATAGCACAAGTAAGAATACGTTTTTTTTTTTCCCGCCAATTCAAGGAAAGGTGAAATCAGGACTAGCAGAGTCATCTATGTACAGAGATATTTCACAAAAATATAAAAAATAAGTACAGCATTTTCCCCATTTTTTGTTCATTTTCCCCAGTGGCAATGGGTTAACCATTAACCATTCTGTTCATCCAGCTAGAGCCTCATAGCATGGTAGAAAAGAAAGAATCTTTAGGAAAAAAAAAAAGTGGGGTACAGATTAAGTCACTGAGCCTAATGCAGATAACACAAGAGAACCTGTGAATGACATTGAATATACAAGGAAATAATATATATTGGTGAATAGATTAACAAATTATCAATAATAGTAATGTATATATCAGCCAGACAACTACACATCTATCCCTATCTATTTCTATCTTTTCTTCACTATTATCAATTTAGCTCTAATACATTAATGCTAGAATGTTCCACAGATTGCTCATGGTATGGTGCAGAGTTGGAGATACCCAACTTAAGGACTCATCATTGAGACTGGCGGTCTGGCGAGCCATGGCAGTGCGCCGACTTTGAGTGCAAGTGTTTGGCACATCAAGCCGAATCACCAGCAAGCCGCACACCAACATTCAAATGTTTTTTTCCACGCCCATAGGCATGACCTGTTGTGAAGGGGTTATGTGCATGCATGGTTTTTGCAGAAAGTTTTTTTTTTATTCTTTTTATTTTTTTATATTTTTTTTTAATTTGATATTTGTACTAGTATCATATTATGTAGTGATTGTTATTAGGGTATTGCTATTTTGGTATTGGTAATGCAACAAAATGAAAAAGTGTGATTAATACAAAATTTTTAAAAATTACCCATTTAAATGGGAGAAATGCTTTCCACTGTTAGCAGGTCAGCCATTGAGTGTTCTGCTTAGCGAGGCCTTTATCAATATTCTCCTGGGCTGCTATCAGGACTTGCCACAGGTGACATCCCTTCCATCTAAGGATCAAGTCCCTTGCTCGTTGTTGTCATGGGGTGGGGTGGGGGGGGGCAGCTTAGGAGGCCATCTAATGACCTTAGATGTTGATGTGGTAGAATTTTTTTCAGTATTAAATCAATCAAATGTAACCATATATCATACTTATGAAATTACATGTGAATTTTTTTTAGTCTAAGAAAACAGACCATAGAATTCATACATACCCATTGCCCAGTAACACAGCCTAATCATTTCCTTGGGCTTCTCGTAGCTGCTGATCTCGTTCTTGTATCTGAAATGTTTAAGAGGTTTATTATGACTTTTTTCATCTTTCCTTATATTGTCAAGCATTATCTTCTGAAAATACTAAGAAAAAATGTAATATACATAATTTCCATATACATACAGTTCATTCAGATTCCTTTCAGACCAATTCAGTTCACTTTACAATTAGTTTCAGTTATAAATTTTACATAAATATTACAGAGTACAGTAATAAGGAATAAGAAGAAAGAGGGAGAAAGTGGAAGGGGGAAAGAGAAAGATAACAGGAAGAGTGGCCTAAGAGGGATGAAGAGATCTGAGGTGAGTAAAGAATGATAAAATAAGAAAGCAGGAGAAAGGGAGGGAGGGAGGGAGGGGGAAAAGAGAATAGAATATATGATTTACAGTTTCTTACCACATCTCTGAGGCTTGTTTTCTTCTTTTCATCTTCTTTAGCTTTGTTTTGGTTGCCATGGTTGTTCCGGGCATGGTTAGTGTAATTTCCTGGTTTCCCTGGTTACCCTGGTTGTTTCCCTGGTGGGCATTTTGTGGATACCATGCTTGATTCTCCATGTCTGAAAAGGATAAAAACGAATTTAATTAATAATACATCATTCTCACACAAATGTACACACTCACACTCACACACTCACACACTCACACCCTCACACACTCACACGCACATGCACACACGCGCACACACACACACACACACACACACACACACACACACACACACACACACACACACACACACACACACACACACACGTTTGTGTATATATATGTATATATATAATATAATATACATATGTATGATATATGTTGGAATAATCAAAGATAGTTATTAGTATAAGGATACTTATATGTCATGTATCAATGATATACCTCATAATGCCTGAATTAAGGTGAAATTATATTTTGTTAAGTTACCCATACAAGAGAATGTTTTCTTTTATGTACGCCATCAAACGGCAGACTTTTATACCCACTATGTAAACAACCCTCAGGTGTACTACGCTGTTCCTCCTCAATACATGGAGTTAAGCGCATCATCTCTGTTTTTTACTAATCCCCACAACGAGTCATATATGCATTGACAAGTCAAACTGGCTTTATACACGCAGGGAAGATGAATTCTTATACCATATCAACAATATATATGCATAATATACATAGCCCCCTACTCCCTTGCCTTGATGGTTGTCATGGGGGGGGGGGGGGGGGGCTTAGGAGATTGAGACTGAGGCCCAATGGAGGGGATCACCCCTACCTTGGACTTCAGTCCTCGCCTCAACTAATTTACACAGTCTTTTCTTCTCTCCCTTCTCATCCCATCCCTTCTATATCAACCCCTTCCTCTATCCATTTCCTTAGGTTTGAGAGCCTAATATGTATATTATGTATACATAATATGTGTTTATACAAGGAATTATATTTATATCAGCAAATATAGAAAAGCTCCTATAAAATACATTATAGGAGCTGGCTCCATCCGAAGACACCCTGAAGGAGCTGGCGCCATCCGAGAACAGAGTCAGCTTCTCTTGGCTTTCCTCGGACGAAGCCAGCTCCTTCAGTGTGTCCCCCCCCCCCAATCCCTTGCCCGTTGTTGTCGTGGGGGGGCTTAGGAGGCGGAGACTGGGACCCAATGATGGGGAACTCCCCAACCTTGGGACTCAGCCCTCGACTCAACTAATTATGCATGGTCTTTTTTTCCCTTCCCACTTTTGATTCTGTCCCTTCACCAAACCCTTCTGCTATCCACCTCCTAAGGTGTGAGAGCCGTGCTGAAAGGATGAAAGGATGACTTTGTACCAGTCCTGAACGGCCTGAGGGAGCCATGGGCACGGTATTCCCCTGATTTAGTTATCTAGCCCTTACCCCTCAAGGGGACCCTGAGGGGTGGACTGTTTTTATCCCCAATATAATCCAGGCTTACCATGGCCAGTAATGACAATATATCCCCACTGTTAGGGGCAATGAGGCTTGCCCCTTTATCAAATAGCCTCAACGAAGTAAACCCACCCGATTCCCCGACCCCAGGCTCTCCTTTGACCACGGCTCCGAACACTGCAATAACTACCCCTTCACCAATGCCTACTAGTGCAGTAGCCAACAATCAACCCTCAAGGAACATTTCCACTCTCCCAGCATGCCCAACTTCAACACCTCTACCCCCACAACCTCCAACATCAACCGCCCCATCCTCCCTTATTAATACCTTACAGCCTTATAGCCCACCTCTCCATAACACTACCTCCATCAACACTACTCCATCTTCGTCACGTCCTCGCCCTTCTACCACCCCTATCTCTAAAACAATCTTGAATACTCTCTTCAGTGCAGCCACATGGGACCGATTTTTCGTGATCCCTCCCACAGCTCCCTACTCTGACAACACCCTTCTCTTCCAACAATGCCTCCAAAAACAAGTAGGTAAAGTCTCTTTCCGTAGCCGACCCGACCGCTCCCGCCTTGTCACAGTAACGTCCGAAAACCAAGCTATAGCATTAACAAAACTAACTGACCTATATGGTAACCCCATCCTAGCAGAACCCCATCCAACCCTCAATACCTGCACCGGAACAGTCTCAATCTCACCAGCAAATTGCCCAATCTATGACAAATATTGGTCAGATTGTGGAGAAGATCTACTTGCCTGTCTCACAGACTACGATGCAACATCAGTACAATGCTACTCCATCCCCCCCAGAGGTCATCGAAAGAAACCCACTAACATAGCCAAAATTACCTTCCGTAGACATGATCTTCCCTTTAACGTCTACATAGGAGGAGAATCCCTCCCTGTTCGTCCATACCAACTTCCTCCACGTCAGTGCCAAAATTGTTGGCGTCTAGGACACCCAGCCAAACATTGCCGTTCCACAGCCAGATGCCCATTATGTGCCCAACCTGGCCATACCCGATCTAACTGCTCTGCACAATCACGCACATGTACCAACTGTGGCGGCTCCCATAATGTATTTTATAGGGGCTGTCCCACCTACAAATTTGAATCTGAGGTAGCAACTCTCAGATTCAAACATGGACTCACACTGTGTGAAGCCAGACAGGAAGCACGTCTACGTGGATTCTCTCTTACTCCTTACTCCAGTAATACTGCTCATTCTAACACTTCTCCTAAACCCACCCCTCCTACATCTAACCCCCCCACTTCTACCTCCTACCTTCCCCAGTCAAACTCTTTTGCCATCCTAAATCCAGAAACTCCAATCTCTACTACAGATACTCCAATCACCACTACAACCCCAACACCTTCCCCTCTCCCTCCTCGCACTCCCCATACTCTTGAGACACCAGTCCTCTCTTCCCCCCCTCACAAGAAATCCTTTATCCCCCACAACTCCCCAACCAACTCCTCAGAAGAAACTATTGAAAATATTCAAGATTACTTAATGCAAACTGACACTCAACCTACAACCCCTGCTCCTTCCACACTCCAAGTAACTGCTGATATCCATCCTCCTCCTAACGATATCCCCCCTACACCCTATCCTCCTACCCCCTCCCAACACAGCCCATCCCCCCGACCCCGACCCCGACCCCGCCCACATTAACCCTCCCACCATCCCCTCTATCCCTTCCACTCCCTCCTGGATACACACGTGAATCCCTGATGTCACAAGTATCTCCTTCCTCAGACCCTCCATCTCCTAATACCTCTCCTGATAGAACACCAACTCCCACATCTCTCCCATCTCAAACCTCTCAGTCCTTATCCCACCCTCTAGCTGCTTCCCCCTCAAAGTCTCCAACACGTACTGCAATCTATATCACTAAATCAACGAAAGTATAACTATCCTTCATTGGAATATTCGCGGTTTCCGCTCCCACAGACCTGACCTTCGTCATATCCTTTCCTCTTATAACCCATCTATTGTATGCCTTCAAGAAACCTTTCTTACACATCCTCCAATACCAATCCCCAATTATCATTTTGTCTCTTCCCCACATTCCCTTTATGTCTCGTCCATACTTATCAATCAGAAAACACCTTATGTCACACCACCCTTTCAAACCAATGTCCTTTGCACAGTTATTCGTATCTTCCTTCATCGTTGGATCACAGTGATTTCAGTCTACTTCTCCCCTTCCCACCCCATTGACTTTGTTGCTTTTGAAAATCTAATTTCCCAACTTCAACCACCTTTCCTCATAGCGGGCGACTTTAACCGCCGCCACACTCTTTGGGGTGATTCTATTACCAACTCCCGAGGCCGATCTCTAGAGCGCTTCCTCTCCACAGCTGACCTTACTATTCTAAATTCAGATCGCCCAACACACTTTGATACACGCACGCAATCTTTTTCATGCATTGACCTCTCTCTATGCTCCCCTTCTCTTCATATAGATTTCCACTGGTCAGTTTTAGACCACTTTCCCTATAGTGACCACTTTCCAGTTCTCCTTTCTCCTACTCCATACGTACCACTTCCTAACTCCCCACGCTGGTGCTTTGATAGAGCCGACTGGCATACTTTCACTTCACTCTCTGCTATTCATACCCCTCCATCCTCATTCACCTCCATTTCAGAAATGATACAATGTTTCACAACTACAGTCTTAAGAGCTGCACATACAGCTATCCCTCGAACCTCAAGACCATATACCTCTAAATGTGTTCCATGGTGGAATTCTGATTGCACTAAAGCACTTCGCTTAAAACGTGCAGCCTGGAACAGTTACCGCTACAAGAGAGGTACTCCAAATCAACTATCAGCCCTTATCTCCTTTAAAAGAGCAT